GCTCAACTGCATAGCCGCAATGATAAATCTACGGATCTCCGCTGGAAGGCAGACTGAATCGTAATTTTTGGCAAATTCTATTGCATCCACAAAGGATACATTTGTTAACGAGTGCAGGTCTGCATCGACAACGTCCTCCTAATTCGATGTTGGCCATGGCAGTGTTCGTGCCTAGGATCACATAATAAGATTCGAGCGACTGCTATTTTTTCATTAGACATGGCACAAAGAAATTCGTTGGCGCGTTGGTAGTCATGCTGAAAAAATAGCGTAAAACATGCGAAAAACTAGCTGCATTCACGAAACTTCACCACCACAAACCTACCTTGAAGAAGGCCCATGAGACACGGGCGGAAGCATCGGTACTGGTCAGTCACCGAAATGACCACAGTACCCCTTGCGTTGTGTATAAGTAAACTGTGTTTCACGCAGATTTTTATTATAAATAGTATAATCAAACTATTTAATTCGTCGTTGCTGGAGCAGCAACGATAACCCCACTTGTTCTTATTAGGCTAGTACCACCGAACCCTGTGGATGTGGTGGAGACAACGTTGGTAGAAGGTGTTTAGATGACGCTCGTATGGTTTCAGTCAGGTCGCCGTTTCCATGTAGCATAATAAGATCGAGATGGCATATGATATAAAAATCTTTATTCTTCGCCAACCGGATACTCTAATGACACATATTATCTCTGATGGAATGACATATTTGTTCTACTGTGAGTTCTGGAAGATACAACAAGAATGTTTAACTCAAATAAGTATCTGACAGTGTCAGGCAAGATGACGTATCTTGGAATAGCAAAAATTATCGCGTAACAACGCATAACGAGAAAATAGGCAGGAAATGGAAGGAGTAGTAAAATAAAGCAGCATACATTACATTTGTGAAGTATCATGAAGCATGAGTATGAAGGGAGAGAAATTCCATCGCATGGCGAAATGACCAATGCTGCACGAGCTGTCAGTACAACTGATAGCGAAAAAGTATTGCAAGAATTCAAAGTCGCTTGTGAAAGCTAGTCTAGAATGGGAATTGAAGTCAGTGTAGAAAAAATCAACTATGAAAACCGGCAAAAAAGAAAGACATAAGCATATCAGTAGAGAGGCGACAATTTGAGCAAGTATCTGAATTTAGAGCAAAAGCAAAAAATGAACGATATAACCGTGATGTCGATAAAAGTTTAACATTGGAACTTGTAGTACTGACAGCTAACATAACGTGATCTGCAAATATTAATAAACAATAGTAAAAATACCACTGCATGCCAGAGGTCATATATTGACCAGAAACATAAACATGAAAGTAAAAAAAACGAAGACCATAATGCTCTAATAATTGAAGACAGCCTATCTGTAATGTTAAATGAATCACTCGAAGGTGCATTTTCGTGATTACATATCTAAAAATTACGTCCAAAATCTCTTGTCTTCATATGGAATAACTCTTGCTGTCGACACAAAACAAAGATTTAATCTCCGGCAGAACGGTTAAATATGCTAAATGATATTTTAAAGTATGTATAAAAACAAACCTCTTTGGTTTTATTCACGTCGATTCCTAGAGAACACATGAGCTGCAAAACTTTTTCCGACCATTCCTTTCCAAAGGGCATACCGGGAACAGCGCTTTCTGGCTGAATGCCAATTTCAGGAACGAACGACCAAATAGCCGTGTCAGAATCCACGACCCACCACACATGTGCCTTTATCCCTGATATTGACAGTCGCTTGAGTGGATTAATGACGAGCATTTTGCGAATGAGGTTTTCACAATCTGAAATTCTAAAGTCAGAAACCACACAAAACTAATTAAATGATAAACCTGGAGAAAGGAAATAGGGCACCCGGAAACGGCCCAATAGCACCTTATTTCGCAGCGCATGCAGATTCGGGGCGTCGAAAGGCAATGCTCCGCAAACAAGCACGTACAGTACAACTCCAAGACTCTAAAAATTCTTTTCATGTTAGCCGGACCACTACAACACATACCCAGATATCAGTCTCTGG